GTGAGAGTAAAACTTTCTTGCTGCAGGGTAGAAACTCTAAGCACTGAGCCACTGTGCTGCCACCTTTTGTTATTGCAAGCCAAGCCAAGAGAACTAGGGTAAGTGCCTTTTTCTGACTCGACTGTCTCCTAACTACTGAGACACACATGGGCAATACCCTGAGGATATAATGCACAACAAATCATCACCGTCCGGCAGAAACCACGTATCTCTACGACCTCTACTTTTCGGGAAATGAAAAAAACAACTTGTATCTAAAAGAATTCAGTTTAGTTGGAATTATCTTTATATATGGTCACTTACCTGCGTGCATCATTACATTATTATTTTACCTAAATCAAGCTCGCATGAGGTTTTGCAGACAGTTTCATGATCCAATGAAGTCATGAGATTTAGCCACCATCCCTTTTTAATGCTTTAAATTGGTTTAATGTTTTTAAAACACACTGACAGGTGTAAAGGGTGATCAATGCATTAATTTATGAAATAAAAAAGACAAAATATGGTACATACAAGGTTTCTGCCCCACAGCAACAAAGTAGTCCTTGAACTAATGTCACAGCAGAAGTGGTGGCTTTTCTGTAAAACTGACCTTATCTCAGAAATGTGTTTTGTTTATTGTTACAGTACCTCACTTGGATTTCTGACTTTGCAGATTGATATATCTGCAGAGCGTGTAGCTGTTTTCACTTTTCATTTGCAGAAGGTGTAACCTTTCTCTGAGCTCTCCTGAAATCCTAGTGTGCGTGTGTTTGTATGACCATGATTTTGTGACGTCACAACTAGTTGGATGCCGGTCACGGGTCTGATACCCAACTTAGTGCGATGTAGAAACTTTAAACCACCAAGACACAGTGTAAACTGATTATGTATAATCAGTGAAGAAGCAGAGGTCTTGTGTCCAGCAGTTTACTTTTTCAAATAATAATAAAAAAAACCTTAAAAAAAATCTGGATTTTTCAGTGAGAGAGCTTTAAGATAATGTAACATTTTTATGGAAGAACCAAACATTACAAACTCCAAGAGTGCCAAAATAGAGGGCATCCTGAATTTTCTCTGTTTATTTTGTGATGGGAAAAACACAAAGTAATATGGTTTTCCCTTGATATTCACCACCCAGTTAAATGGGTGAGTGGAATGGCAGGGTTAGCCAGTCACAGCAGCAGTTCAATCGAAGAGGATTGTTTTATTTTAATTAAAAAAAACTTAGTAAAAACCCTCCATTTTCTTATCTTATCTTAATCCTTATCTTAATCCTTAAACAATTCCTCATATTTATCTTGTGACCCAAGGGTAGAAACCACTGTGCTTTTCTGTCTCAAGCAGGTGTCAGGAATTGTTGTGGCAAGTTTAGATTAACCTTGGGGAGAATGCCTGAATGCATGCTGGATAGCTACTGTTGATTGTTGGCTTTGGCTTTCAAAAATGTTTGCTTTAAAACATTTGACAGGGTGAGACAGGAGAAGAAACAGAGAAGGGCAGGATTACCCCAGATCCACCCAGAATACAAAGGAGCTATCATTTGTTTACAATTACACATTCTCCAGTCGATGTGTTATCACAGTAATCCAACTTCAATTTTGTTAGTGGTCTCCAGAAAAACATATTTTGAATATACCGAATGTAAAAATTTGATATGAGAAAATGTAAACTCAAATTTTCTATAAAAAAATATTTGTAATACAAAAGTCAACAATAGTTTTGTTGCTCTTTTCTCCTTTGTATACTTGGAGCATATACAGTATTGGAAAGTATTGTATTTGTTGTGTTTTCTTGTAACAAAAGTTGGTAAAAACCAGTCAAAATGATTTTTTGTCCTTTTAAAATGTTCAAAAAGTTCAAGCATTTTTAATTAAAAACCAAAGAAGTTTTAAGCCGTTTTCAAATGAGACGCGGTGGGCACTGGGCTCTGCTATCAAACCCATCCATGTCAAGAACCCATCTGCGCTGCGCCGAGCTGAGCGCCAGGTCGTGCGTGCCGTCCAATTTGGGCGCAGCGTTCTGTGACGACACCTTGAGGCGTCCAATTGCAGAGAATCTGACAGACCACAAAGAAAATGGAGGAGATGCTGATTTTGGCGGACCTGCACCCTCTTCTTTCCTGCAGCTCATCTCCTCCTCCTCATCAGTACAACTAAAGCTTTTGGCCGCTATGTAGATAGATACATCGTGCATCCAAGTCCGCTGCTCGAAAAATAAGTTAATAACTGCTAACCACCTTATGGATTGCTTTTCGGTCGCCTAGCAACTGGCGCCCAACTTGTGCGCCCTCCTTTCCTGTGCTGCGCCAATCCCCCACGGCGAACGCAGCGCCCACTACATCCTATCTGAAAAAGGCCTTTAGACATACTTGAACAATGATTATTATTATTTAAAATGTATTTATTTAGAGAAAAAGGGTGTCTGAATCCATCAGTGATGTGGAAGCTGTCCATTGATGACTTGAGTTAGTTTCATTATTGACCAGACCTTGTGATCACCAGTGACGTCTTAAAGATAAAAAAAAAAATCTAATAAATCTGATTGACTTTCAGGAAGAATCTTCTGAAAGCTATGTATCTAGAGCGTCCAATACCATTTGTGGATACAAAGTCATGGATCAAAGGCTTCATTTCTGACAAACATTAGTCCCTACAGACACTTTCAGCCTAGCCTTGTCTGTGCTTGAGCTCTTTGTTTATAGTGCCATTCTGATAAAATGTGAACCGTGTATTACACAAGGGAGACAAAAAGGACCAATAAAACTACGGTGAAATGAATTGCACAAAACTTGTTACAAATGTCAAATTAAAAGCTCAACCTTTTATCTTTAATGCACCTCAGAGCCTGACAGTCTGTTGTGCCTTCATCCCCTCTTTGGACTTTAAAATCTCCATTTCTTTCAGAACTCTGAGGGTGTATGCTCTGACAGAATGTCAGGCAATTAAACAGTCATGGCTCATTGAGCTGGAGGTGGGCCCACTCTGCCAGGCTCCTCTATAGGCAACAGAAGAAAAGAACACAGGCATTCCCTGCCTTCCTTCGCACATTCTTTGACTCACAACCCTAGCGGTAAACCCAGACAAAAAGTTCTTATCAAAAGACACTTTAAACTACTGTCAACTTTCACAAGGCAGAGCCGTGTCACTGTCTTGGGTAATTATTCTGTGCCAGAATGTAAACGAGGACAGTGACTGCTCTCATAGGAAGCCTAGTCTCTGTTAGGAAAGAAACACATAAATGCTGGCACACGAATGATTGCACAAGGCAGCTCCTAGACGAGAGTGACACCTTTACACCTGTTTCAAGGCACAAAAATGTAAATAACAGGCAGCTGTTTTAAGACATTCACATTGATGGAAAGCTTCAGATAAAAACTCAAGTCCTTGTGCTTTTCTTGTGCTATTTCTTGCGTGTAGGGGCACATGGCCTCCAAAGAGCTGACGTTGGTTGAAGCCTAAATTTAAATGCATTTAATCTATGCTGGGTATGAAAACAATTGTGAACTAGAACCAAACTTAAAAGTCACAACAGTGGCAGAATAACACCTCTAACTTCACTGGTACAGCAGAAAATATTTTTAAAACGATTACTAGGAGCCTGTTGTATTGAGGTACTGTATTGAGGCCGTAATGAAGGGAAGAGGCAAGAGGTTCATAAATAGCAATGCCCAATTAATAACTTCTAATAAGTCAGTTACCACATTGGGTTGGTTTCCGCCCAGTGCCCACCTGCCTCACCTACTGCCACCACTCAATTATTTATGTCAAACAAATATTAGGATGTATTTTTATGGAACTTTAGCCAAATGATCAGAAATACTTGATTCTACTGACCTGGTAAATCAACCTTCTGCTGGTGAGGTAAAAAACAAACAAACAAAAAACCCCCATAAATATACAGTTACAGTAGCTACTAACCATTTTGTGTGCAATAAACCTTAATTGATTCTATTTAATTCAGTGACCTGCTTTTCCTGACTCACTGTATTACATATTCTAGCTCCACAGGATATTTCTGCATCTTTCAACTCATTATTCCGGTTTTCTGGCACCGCACCGTCACTGTACTATTCACTCTCAACACTCACACTTTCATTTATTGGCTACAGCAGCCAAATATTCTCAGTGCAAAAGCTCCATTTCCTTTTACTTTCACTGAGCCAATCAACACCTTTTATAGCACATTACAGAAATGTCACAATTTGCTGCTTCCTGTGGCCCCTGTGATCGGCATGGACTCCTCAGGCACACTGATGTTGACAGTGGAAGTTTCTGCTCAGGTACACTGGTCTAGTGGTCGTACATCAAATGTAAGCGCCTGTCACTGATCTCCACTGTGTAAAATTCTCCAGACATGCTAATTGCCCAGTTATTCATGAGCAGTCTGGAGTCCCCATGTCCCTGTACCATTAGAGCAGATTCTGGCTGCAGCACTCCCCCCACCAGCTCGTCACAGCTCTCCCCTCTGTTAGCTCTGACGGCACAGGTCACCTGCTGATTGGTTGGCTTCCTCAAGGAGCTGACTCTATTAGCTATGGCAACGAGGGTCTTGGACTGGAATGTCTCTAGAATAGACATAGTGGTTGACGCAGGTTCACGTCAGATCTCCAGAGAGATATTTTCACTAACCAAGGACACACTGACGTGTTCAACAAACTTGACTGTAAAATACTGTTTAACAGCTGATACTATGATGACAGTGGCTGTTATCACCGCTGCAGAAGTTCTACATTAGAGCTCCTGATAAATGAAAGGAAAAATTCAAAATACAGTATGTCACACTGAATCCCAAGTGAGCTGTGATATGACTGACATTTGGCACACCAGTCCCTGCACACCACTGGGATGAACAGCCTACATCGTGTGTTTACTGTCAATCTCTGCAATTCTTATAATACAGTCCTATGCATCCCCATCCATAAAACATAATTTTTGCTTCCAGCCATAATTCATAAAACAGTACCAGACAATAGAGAAAACCAAATCAGTATAAAATTAATATAAAATTTTGAACCTTACACTGTGTTGCATTGCATTCCAAACAGTCCTCTGGTATGCAGCATAAAGACAGGGAAACAGAAAGTCTTAATTAATTCAGTGTAGGTGGAGGAAAATCATTGATGGACATACAGTGATGCTTAGAAAGGCAACTGCTATGTAGTATGGGATGTGTGGAGGATGAATTAGATTGAGCAAAAACATATTTAGTATTGAATAAAATAAATAACTCATCTGCTGTTGTGGGATTCCAAGAACCAAATGAGAAAATGCTGCTTTTCAAATTATGTATTCATTAGCCAAATAACCTATTATCAACCTGACTCAAAGCCACAGAGACATTGGATTTATAGTATCACTGTATACTTTAAATACCATAGGAGAGACTGCTGCTGCACTAGACAAATTTAATAAGTATGCTATACTTCAAGTGTCAATAATGCAAAAAGAAAAAACAATTGGAGGTTAGTTCTTAATATGAACATACTGTAACTGTGAT